AAAAGGAACAATAGGCTGGACTTGGTGGCTCACACCCCTAATCCCAGCACTTTTGGAGGCTAAGTCAGGAGGATCACTTGAGCTCAGGAGTTTGAGAGCAGCCTGGACAAAATGGCAAAACCCCATCTCTACAAAAATTTTTTTAAATTAGCCAGGTGTGGTGGCATGCACCTGTAGTTCCAGCTTCTCAGGAGGCTGAGGTGGGAGGATCACCTGAGCCTGGTGAGGTAGAGGCTGTAGTGAACCGTGATTGTATCACTGCACTCCAGCTTGGGCAACAGAATGAGACTCTGTCTCAAAAACAAACAAAAAAACACACTCAAAAAAAGGGGAAAAAAATAGTTATGGGGGTACTTGCCTTAATAATAAAACTTAATATGAAGATACAACAAAACAGTATAGAACTGACATGAAAATAAACAGATGAGTGGAACACAAAGTCCAGACTAGATCCAAGTATATATGAGAATTTAACAGTCCAAACTAGAACCAAGTGTATATGAGAACTTAACAGATGTCAGAGGTGACCTTTCACTTCAGAGGGAAAGGGATGGTTTATTTAAATGGTGCTGGCATAATTGGCTTTCCATCTGGAAGAAAACAAAGTTAGACCCTACCTCATGCCATGTAATTAAAATAAATTCCAGATAGAGCAAAGGTTTGAATGTAAAAATGAACAAATGCTGAAAGAAAATTTAGACAGCTAACTAAATAAAAATTAAAAGTTTGACAACAAAAAATGAACTATTTTCTTCAAAAAAATCAAGCTGCAAATAACTTACAAAAGGTTTTCTCTATTCTGTATGTGATCACCATTTTGTTTTTTTCACCCTTGGTGCCATGTACAGAAGAGAATGCTCAAAGAATGCTTTCAAGTACTGCTGCTTATGTTGAAAGAAATCTTAATTATTTTGCTTAGGTCACATGAGTTCTTCCTTTCTGATACACCATGTGTAGTGCCAAGATAAATAGGAATAAAATATAAGAATAAAAGTTTAATACCATTGTGAGATTAAATTGTTATAACATAAGTCTCTACTTTCAAAGATGCTTTTCAGTTCTGGATTTGTAAGCTGTGAGTATATTCCAAAGGCAGTAGGCAGTATCCTTTCCATGTTTTATTTTGTTTTGATATTCCTAACGTCCTTCATTTCCAACTTTTTCTTCCTATATGTTCCTTCAAAAGTTTAACATTTTTAGTTTAACAATGAACTAAATATATACTACGGAATGACCACTAGAAGATTTATGGAAAATTAAAAAAATTTTTTTCAGAGAGTTCTGGAAGAGAATCAAGAACATTATCATATAGTTCAAAAGTTTCTTATCCTGGGAGACATTGATGGTAAGATATAGTTTTATTTTACTCTGTTGTGTTGTGTTTTGTTTTATTTTTTTCAGGGACAAAGTCTCACCCTGTCACCCAGACTGGAGTGCATTTGGCACAACCTCAGCTCACTGCAACCTCCATCTCCTGGGTTGATGCTATTCTCCAGTCTTAGCCTCCCGAATAGCCGGGATTACAGGTGCACACTGCCACGCCTGGCTAATTTTTCTATTTTTAGTAGAGATGGGGTTTCATTATGTTGGCCAGGCTGGTCTGCAACTCCTGACCTCAGATGATCCACCTGCCTCAGCCTCCCAAAGTGCTATGTATTATAGGCATGGGATTACCGACGTGAGTGACCACGCCCAGCCAGTTTTATTTTACTTTGTATGAGTTCTTCATTGTCTTACAATAATTTTTTTTAAGTTATCCAAACAATGCATATAACTTACCAGGTCTTGATAAATACTAACCTGTTTGAATGCAACTCTTTATGTCAGAGGTGACCTTTCGTGTCATTTGGTTTTTATAAAACAAAGTTTGGATTTTACCCAGACTCTGTTTAAGAGGGTGTAGAGTTATATCATGGCTATTAATAATGAGACAGTGACTTTATTTATTTGAGATGGAGTTTTGCTCTTGTTGTCCAGGCTGGAGTGCAATGTCATGATCTCAGCTCACCGCAACCTCAGCCTCCCAGGTTCAAGCGATTCTCCTGCTTCAGCCTCCTGAGTAGCTAGGATTACAGTCATGCACCACCATGCCTGGCCAATTTTTGTATTTTTAGTGGAGACAGGGTTTCTCCATGTTGGTCAGGTTGGTCTTGAACTGTTGACCACAGGTGATCCGCCCTCCTCGGCCTCCCAAAGTGCTGGGATTACAGGCGTGAGCCACCACGCCTGGCCAATACAGTGACTTCAAAGCACTGTAGGAGTGAAGTAAATGTTCCTGGTAATGTTTATTTTTTTCTTTTGATTTTATTCCTTTTGTTGAATCTTTGCTTTGATGGCTTGTAGGTTTGATGGATGAGTTTAGCAGATGGCTTTCCAAAAGCAGAAACAATCTACCTGGACACCTTCTTCGCTTTATGACTCACCTCATTTTGTTTTTCCGTACACTGGGACTACAGACCAAGGTATATAAAAAGGAACTATTCTTCTCTATAATATTGATGCTGTGTACCTAGGGTCAAGAAAACACTACTTTTGTTGTTGTTGTTTTCTAGAAATGGTGATAAGAAATCAAATGTCTTCCATATAGCCTTGTATAGTCACTCAACAGTAACTCACTCTCAGTGAGTGACCCTTTAGAGTTCTAGTGTGTGGCCACAGAATGCTGTTGGTTACCTGGTTTTTAATAAACTCATAACTTTATCCTTGTCTCTACCCACCTTTAAATCAACCAGCTAAGCTAACTAAACAAAGTGCTATGTGATTTTAAAACTTTGTTGGTTGTTTTGTTGCTTTTTTTCTAAAAAAAAAAAAATAGTAATAACATTTTGGTCAGAGCACATGTACAAAGTGAATGATAAAGTAATTGAAAGCTTGGGCTTTGGAGTAAGAGTCCTGAGTTTATACCCTTAGTCAGCAGCTTCTATCTGTGTAATTATGGGTAAATAAAACTTCCCTGGGTATTAATTTCTTCCTCTGTAAAATATGAATAATAGTAACTAGCCAAAAGGAGTTATGGTAAGGTTAAATCATGCGGTAGATGAACTGTGGTAAGCACTTAGCTTGGTGTATAGTTACTGCTCAATGGTAAACATTACGATTATTATTTAATAGCGGAATTTGTATTACAAATTTTATTACTCTTTCATATAAGCAGTTGTATTTATAATTATTATGTCTTTTTCCTATGAAGGAAGAAGTTTCTATTGAAGTTTTAAAGACATACATACAGGTAAACTTTGAGAACCTACAACCTGATTCTTTTTTACTATTTTAATGAAAACAAAAATCAGAATACTATTTTAATTCTCAATTATAAAAAAGCATCAGAATCCATAACAGATCTTTTAATTATCAGCACAGTTGACCCGTGAACAACGCCTGGATTAGGAAAACACCCCTCCCCCCTGCACAATCAAAAATTCACTCTAACTTTTAACTCCCCAAAAACTTAACTACTGATACCCTATTGCTGACCAGAAACCATACCAATAACATAAACACCCAATTAACACATTTTGTATGTTACACATATTATATACAGTCATCCCTCAGTATACTTGGGGGATTGGTTCCAGGACCCCCACATATAATAAAATCTGTGTATACTCATGTCCACAGTTGGCTCTGCACAACTTGCATGTGCAGAAAGTTGGCCTTCCATATTTGCAGATTTCACATCCAGATAATACTATATTTTCTATGTAAGTCGAGTTGAAAAATATTTGTGCATAAGTGGACCTGCACAGTTCAAACCCATGTTGTTCAAAGCTCAACTGTACTGTATTCTTATGATAATGTAAGCTAAAGAAAACATTACTAAGAAAATCATAAGGGCTAGGTGTGGTGGCTCATATCTGTAATCCCAACACTTTGGGAGGCAGAGCCTGGAGGATTGCTTGAGTCCAGAAGTTTGTGATCAGCTGGGCAACACAGGGAGATCCCTCTCTCTACTACAGAAAAATTATTTAAAATTAGCCAGGCATAGTGATTCATATCTGTAAACCCAGCTACTTGGGAGGCTGAGGGAGGAAGATTGAGTGAGCCCATAAGATGGAGGTTGCAGTGAACTATGATCTCACCACACTGCCCTCCAGCTGGGTGAGAGTGAGATCATCTCAAAAAAAAAAAAAAAAAAAAAAAAAAAAAAGGAACAATCAGGCCGGGCATGGTGGCTTGCACCTGTAATCCCAGCACTTTGGGAAGCCAAGGTGGGTGGATCACTTGAGTCCAGGAGTTCAAGACTAGCCTGGGCAACAGCGAGAACCTGTCTTTTTTTTAAAAAAAGGTTAAAAAATTAATAAATAACTTTTAAAAATTAAAAAATTAAGAAATAATAAAAATCGTAAGGAAGAGAAACTACATTTTTAGTACTATACTGTATCTGTTAATACTGTAAGTTTATGCTTTCTGTTTACAGGATGAATTGTCTGTCTGAAATGGACAAGTGATTCTCCTGCCTCAGCCTCTCGAGCAGCTGGGATTACAGGCATGTGCCACCATGCCTGGATAAATTTTGTATTTTTAGTAGAGATGGGGTTTTTGTCTTGTTCTCCAGGCTGGTCTCAAACTCTGGTCTCATGTGATCCGCCTGCCTCAGCCTCTCAAAGTTCTGGGATTCCAGGTGTGAGCTACCAGGCCCGGCCTCAAGTAATACTTCTGCCTCAGCCTCCCAAAGTGCTGGAATTACAGGCACAAGCCACCATACCCAGCCAATTTTTCAATATATTTATTTAAAAAAATCCACATATGAGTGAATCCACACAGTTCAAACCTATGCTGTTTAAGAGCCAACTGCACTCACTTTTTAGAATTTAAAATTATTCTGAGCTGGACACAGGGGCCCATGCCAGTAATCCCAGCACTTCAGGAGGCCAAGGTGGGCAGATCACTTGAGCCCAGGAGTTTGAGACCAGCCTGGGCAGCATAGTGAAAAGCCATCTCTACTAAAAAAATACAAAAAATCAGCAGGGCATGGTGGCATGTGCCTGTAGTCCCACCTATTTGGGAGGCTAAGGTGGGAGGATCACCTGAACCCAGGACACAGAGGTTTCAGTGAACCATGATCGTGCCACTACACCCCAGCCTGGGTGACAAGAGTGAGACCCTGTCTCAAATAAATAAATATAAAATGAAATTATGTTTAGCAACACAATCCATATGTGTATGAACCTCTCCTTAATATATTTGAGATTTTGAAGTAAACTTTTTTATTACTGACATACTTTGATCTTTTCCTGTGTTTTAGCTTTTAATAAGTGAGAAACATACAAATCTCATAGCATTTTATACCTGTCATTTGCCTCAAGACCTAGCTGTTGCCCAATATGCTTTATTTTTGGAAAGTGTTACAGAATTTGAGCAGCGCCATCATTGCTTGGAGTTGGCTAAAGAAGCAGGTAAAAATGGTTGAAAACTTTGTCTATTGACATTTGTAGGCAAATACTTATTTTGGCTGTAGTAATATTTGTCCTAGTTTTAAATCTTATTTCTCTTTAGGGGAAAACAGTAATAAAATTTTCAGGGAATTTCTGTTTTAGGACTAATGTTACTTACGCGGTAACTCATGTAAAATATCTTTTAATTTTGGCATTTTCTTTTATATAAATATCTTTCATATTTTACATATTTCATTTTTAAGGAATTGTTCCAAATTTACCAAATCATTGTGACTGTTTAGAGAATATTAGTATCAATGATTAATCTTTGTTTTTTGTCTCTTCAAAAAATAATTTAGATTTGGATGTTGCAACAATAACAAAAACTGTAGTTGAGAATATTCGAAAGAAAGATAATGGTGAATTTAGTCATCATGACCTGGCCCCAGCCCTAGATACTGGCACTACTGAGGTAATTTAGGATGGGGGGAAAAGGTGTTGTATAACTTCTAATAATCTTTTATGTTATTCCTTGGTGAATTTCTCCCTTTGTAAAAGAAATTCTGTTAGTTTTTCTTTTTTAAGAATGTTTCTTTGATAGTTCAGACATGTTAAATTATAAAAATTGGCAGCAAATTTTAAGTCTTATGTAAAGGATTACTTAGAGTATGTTAAAGGAAGCTTCTTTAATAGAAAAAAAAATCTCAGCTTTGGTTTGTTGCTCATCAGGTTATTTTAAATACTTGTTAATCACTAACTTATGTAGCGTGCTTACTCATATTTTCAGAAAGAAATAGAAAGTTATATCTAAGAAAACTATATTTTAGAGTAACATTTAAAGGAATCACACGGTTAAGTTGGTGAGACATACAATATATAATTTCAAATTAATAATCCAGTAAATTTTTTCTATAATTTATTTTTATTTATTTATTTATTTTGAGGCAAGGTCTGGCTCTGTTACCAAGGCTGGAGTGCAGTGCTGCTATCTTGGCTCACTACAACCTTTGCCTTCCAGACTCAAGCCATCTTCCCACAGTCTCCCGAATAGCTGGGACTACAGGCATGTGCCACCATGCCCAGCTAATTTTTTATGTTTTTTGTAGAGACAGAGTTTTGCTATGTTGCCCAGGCTGGTCTTGAACTCGTGAGCTCAAGGGATCTGCTTGCCTCGGCCTCCCAAAATGCTAGGATTACAGGTGTGAGCCACCGTATGTGGCAGTATTTTCTATAATTTAATAGAGAGCTGCTAAATATGAAAATACACTAAGAAAAGTTAGATGTTATCATTTCATATAACTTGAGGGAAAATGATGTTTACTGCAAGTACAGGTGCAAGTTAATTCTACTAATTTGTAGAATATCTTTTTTAAAAAACCTGATGTTCTTTTTTTTTTTTTCCCCTTTAATCAATAGGAGGATCGTTTAAAAATTGATGTAATTGACTGGTTGGTATTTGACCCAGCACAGAGAGCAGAAGCACTGAAACAAGGCAATGCAATTATGAGAAAATTCTTGGGTATGCTATATTTTTATGCAGCTTCAAACTCCTGGGCTCCATTCATTTTCCTACCTCAGCCTCCCAAGTAGCTGGGACTATAGGCGCCTACCACCACACCCACCTACTTTTTTAAAAAAAGTTTGTAGAGATGGTGTCTCCCTATATTGCCTAGGCAGGTCTCAAACTCCTGGTCTCAAGCAATCCTCCCACCTCAGCCTCCTTAAGTGCTGGAATTATACAAATGAGCCACCATACCTAGCCTTTTATTCTTTTTTTAAAAAAGTTTTTGTTCAAATTTACAAGAAAAAAAACAACCCCACCAAAAAGTGGGCAAAGGATATGAACAGACACTTTTCAACAGAAGACATTTATGCAGCCAACAAACATATGAAAAAAATCTTATCATCACTGGTCACTACAGAAATGCAAATCAAAACCACATTGAGATACCATCTCATGCGAATTAGAATGGCGATCATTAAAAAATCAGGAGACAACAGATGCTGGAGAGGATGTGGAAAAATAGGAATACTGTTGGTGGGAATGTAAATTAGTTCAACCATTGTGGAAGCCAGTGTGGCAATTCCTCAAGGATCTGGGAATAGAAATATCATTTGACCCAGCAATCCCATTACTGGGTATATACCCAAAGGATTATAAATCATTCTATTATAAAGACACATGCACACATATGTTTTTTGCAGCACTGTTTACGGTAGCAAAGACTTGGAACCAACCCAAATACCCATCAGCGATAGACTGGATAAAGAAAATGTGGCACATATACACCAGGGAATATTATGCAGCCACAAAAAAGGATGAGTCATGTTCTTTGCAGGAACACGGATAAAGCTAGAAACTATCATTCTCAGCAAACTGACACAAGAACAGGAAACCAAACACTGCATGTTCTCACTCATAAGTGGGTGTTGAAAAGTGAGGACAAATGGACGCAGGGAGGGGAACATCACACACTGGGGCCTGTTGGTGAGTTGGGGGCTAAGGGAGGGATAGCAGGGGGTAAGAGGATGAAAAGAAAACCAAAAAAAAAAAAAGAAAGAAAGAAAAAAATAGTATTATTTGAAAGTATTTAGAATATTTGTTGAAGTACTTAAAATTTAGATTACTGGTACTACATGATACTAGTCTTATGCAATTTGCTTTTTTAATTTGACAAGTTTTTAAAGATTTATTCATATTTATATATAGGTGATAGATCTACTTTATTCAGTGTTACTTTCTGCTGCTGCATAAAGTTTTGTTATAGAAATAAGCCAAGGTTTATTGATTCATGCTCTTAGTAGTGAATGATTAAGTTGTTTCTAATATCTTACATTACAAACAATGCTACAATAAATAATTTTGTTCATGTCTCCTTGAAAAAAAAAACTTTTTGTTCAAATTCATGTATTTTTAAATTTTGGGGGTGGGGTTTGTTTTGGTCCTTCCGCTAGGGAGGAGAAAACCAGCTACTCTTTATCAAACCTGGTATTATGAAACAAAACGTATTTTAATGGTGAATTTTCATTGTCCTAATCAATTTTGCAAATAATAATAATCAGACTTTGAAAAATGTAATTGCTTTCTTTAAGACATAGAAGTATGTAAAAGTAACTGTATTTGATGTATCCTTTTGTGTTGGTATCACATTGAGATAGGAAAAAGCCAGTCTGTTAGGTAGAAAGATCACCAAGACCTTTAACAGAGTGCCTTAGGCCCTGAAATAGTTATAGGTCACTGTAAAAGTTGTAAACCAGTGATTTGACTCTTTTAGAAACCATTACACAGAAGCCCATAGGTCTTCAAAATTGTGTATCTTTTTTTCACAGCATCAAAAAAGCACGAAGCTGCAAAAGAAGTATTTGTGAAAATTCCTCAGGATTCTATAGCAGAAATCTATAATCAGTGGGAGGAACAAGGAATGGAAAGTCCACTTCCTGCTGAAGATGATAATGCTATCAGAGAACATTTGTGCATCAGAGCTTATTTGGTGAGACTGTAAAGAAAGCCACAGATGTGCTTCGTGATGATTTTTCTGATTCATTCTCAGAGTTTGAACTTTTTTCTAGAAGTGGTGTTGATGCATCTTACCTCTCTTGTGACTATAGTGCGGACTCATCCACAGGGGGTCTGACATCGTGACCTTGTCTTCATTAGCATGATTTTCTAATCAATGTTAACCAACCAGGATCATCTCACATGGTAGATAGTGTCTATGATGTCCAGAAGTTATGTTTTCTTAAGATTTTATAAAAGCTTGTCTCAGCTTAAAATTTCTGCTTTTATCAATAACTGAGAAAAAGCAAGATGTTGTAGGTTTGTTATGACTAAAATAACAGCATACTCATTCAAAATTCATTCAAGGCCAGGTATGGTGACTCAGGCCTATAATCCCAACACTTTGGGATGCCAAGGCAGAATATTTGAGCCTAGGAGTTCAAGACTGGCCTGAGCAACATAGTGAGACACCCCTCCACACACATCTCTACAAAAAAAATAAAAACAGAATTAGCCAGGTATGGTAGCATGTACTTGTAGTCCCAGCGACTTGAGAGGCTGAGGTGGGAGGTTCGCTTGAGCCCAGGAAGTTGAGACTTTAGTGAACGGAGATCATGCCTTGTCTTCATCAGATCATGCACTCCAGCCTGGATGACAGAGCAAGGCCCTGTCTCAGAAACAAACAAACAAAAAAATTTTTATTCAATAAATAATTACGTAATTATAGTGGGTTAGGTAGTAGGGCCAAATCTGTGGATAACACCCTATCCTTGCCTTCTAAAAGCTAATAGGCTAGTTAGGAAGACAAGTACACATGCATATGTTATGGGGTGATAAATGTAAAGATAATATGTGATCAGGGTGCTGAGATTGGAGAATATGCCAGAAAACACAATATATATACCTTGCTGTTGTTTGTCATTTGACAAAATATTTATTCATGGTATGACCTTTTTGTATGCAAAAAATAAATATTAAACAGTTTTATTTCTTGATGCTGCAAAATTATTTCTAAGAATCAAATGTTAAAAATTTTGATGAAACAAAAGTGAAACCTTTGGTTATGTTTTGGGTTTTTTTATTTTACATTTTAGGAAGCCCATGAAACCTTTAATGAGTGGTTTAAGCACATGAGTTCAGTTCCACAAAAACCTACTTTGATACCTCAACCAACTTTTACTGAGAAAGTGGCTCATGAACACAAAGAAAAGAAATATGAAGTAAGTTACATATGGATCTGGGATGTACCTACTGCATCTTATAACTGTTATATATTTAAAGAGATCATTTCTTTAGCAACTATCTTTCTATCATAATAATCTTCCTGTTAATGTCCTGCTTTGGAAGAAGCAATCTGTTTAGTTACTTTTCTGTAGGTAATTAACCAAACATGAAAAATGCCTTCAGGTGACATAAATATTTATTTACAAAGTTAACCTTATTCAGCATTTTATTTAATTGCAGCCTGTTGATACTTATTTTTATATTTGGCAGACTTAAATGTCAACTCTTGAGAATGATATTTTATATGTATATCCCTGTCTGTACTTTACAAATACATTATTTATTGGGTTTTATCCATTATAGGCCTGCCTTATGTTTGTTTTGCAGATGGATTTTGGTATTTGGAAAGGGCATTTAGAAGCCCTAACTGCTGATGTGAAGGAGAAAATGTATAACGTCTTGTTGTTTGTTGATGGAGGGTGGCTGGTGGATGTTAGAGAGGTAAGCTGTGTGCATTGTTTATAGCCAGAAACCAAAACACTCACCATGTCTTTCTCTTTAAATGCTCTGTCTCTAAATAGGAGCATCTACAGATTTTATATAATTGTAGATATAGCTAAATCCCATATTTTAAGCTAAGCCGAAAATACTAGCTAGGGAATGGGAATATTTGATTCTTGGATAAACTATTAGTTCACATTTACTATGTTTACACAGGATACAAAAATCTAATTAAAAAAAATCCGGACCTAAATATTTATTATACATGTATGTGACTCAATTAACAGATATGAAGATAACTTGAGTAGTATCAGTAAGGGATGCTAAGGCAGGGGCTCTCACCTCTGGGCTGTCCATTTTAATGACCTGGCAAACTTTTTAAAAACACTGCTGGGTTCCACTCCCAGAGATTCTGGTATAATTGGTCTGAGGTAGGGCTGGGGTTTGTTTTTTTTTAATCACCTGGAGTTATTTAATAAAATATACAGCCTGTGTCAAGAACCAGTTACAGAAGTATTAAGTGCCATAAGAAAAGCACAGGTTTTTATGCTGATTCTCTTGAAGATAAAATTTTAATGTTGCAAAATGCTAATTAAGTGATACTTAAACTTTGAAAAGACTTCAGTGCTTTATTTGTACATAAATCTTTGCTACTCTAATTATTATTTAATCTAAGTAGATCAGGTAGTGAAAGCCACAAAATAGTCTGGGGTCTCATAAAAATGGAGCCAACTGTGGTGGCTCATGCCTATACTCCTAGCACTTTGGGAGGCTGAGGCAGGTGGATCACCTGAGGTCAGAAGCTTGAGACCAGCCTGGACAACAGGGCAAAACTCCGTTTCTACTAAAAATTCAGGAAAATTAGCCAGGTGTGGTGGTGCATGCCTGTAGTCCCAGCTATTAGGGAGGCTGAGGCAGGAGAATGGCTTGAACCCCCCAGGAGGCAGAGGTTGCAGTGAGCTGAGATTGTGCCACTGCACTTCAGCCAAGGTGACAGGGCAAAACCTTGTCTCAAAAAAAAAAAAAATAAAGTTTAGCTGGAAGGCAATGAATGATACCATTTTATTTCATCAAGAGTTTTAAAATCAATATTTGATCTTAATTATTTCTTTAAAACTAATCCAGAAAAGAGATTTTTTGAACAATTAAATAATTAATAATGATATTTTAATCACCTTTGTTGAGTCAAGCCCCATACTCTCATATATTCGATGACGCAGGGCACCATTCAAGGCTCCTGCTAACACATGTCACTTGTATGTGAATTAGAAAATTGTAATTTTGTCTGGCTGCAGTGGCTCACCCCTGTAATCCCAGCAGTTTGGGAGGCCAAGGCAGGTGGATCATATGAGGCCAGGAATTAGAGACCAGCCTGGCCAATATGGTGAAACCCCATCGCTACTAAAAATATTAAAAACTAGCCAGGTGTGGTGGCTCGTGCCTGTAATCCCAGCTAATAGGGAGGCTGAGGCGGGAGAATCCACTGAACCTGGAGGCAGAGGTTTCATTGAGCTGAGATTGTGCCACTGCACTCCAGCCTGGGTGACAGAGGGAGACTCTGTCTCAAAAAAAAAAAAAAATTGTAATTCCCTTCCCTCACACAGATAGGTTCCATGGCCAGTCCACACAACATGTAGAACAGAGCACAGGCTAGATTTCAGCCCCACTAACTTGCTTAGCCAGCCACCCTTGTGCAAGGCACCGCTGTATGCAATAGCCCTAGCATTATGCAGTGTTTTTGTATAGCTACGCCTCAAGTTTTTAAATAACTGTAGAATAGTCCCCTTAGTGTTAGGGCTGGTAGCACAGAGGAATGTCAGGGAGAATAGAGCAGGCAGCTCATCTTTACCTACCTTTCACCACCTCCATTACCTCTGCCTCTAGCATAAGCCTCCACTGTCTTCCCTGGCTTCTCATTGTTCTTTATACAGTCTGTTCCTTATACAGATGTACTAGTGAACCTTTTAGAATGAAATATATGCAACCGTCCTACCCAGAACTTTCTGATGCCTTCTTATTACACTTGGAATAAAATCCATCTTTCTTTTCCTAATGTGCAAAGAGTATACATACTTTTTAAAAAAAAAAAAAAAAAAACTAACCCCCTAATCTTGTGTCCTGTTCTCCCCTCACTATATTCTAGCCTTCTGGGCCTCTTCACTGGTTCCCCTCTGCCTAGAATGCTCCTTCGCCAAGATATCTGCATGGAGACTTTATACTTCTTTTAGCAGTCTGCTCAAATGCCATCTCCCTCAAGAACCTCTCCCCAACCCAGCCACCCTATTTAAAATAGCATGTGTACACGTATATATATACACACACTCCTGTCCCTTTTAATCTCCATATCCTACATTAGTTTTTTTCATAGCACTTAGCACAATCTTATATAATACATATTAGTTTATTTGGTTTTTGTATGTCTACCTTCATTAGAATATAACCGTAATGAAGGGAGTAACCTTGTTTTCTTTATTTCTTTGACTCTGGCACTTAAAGTAATGCTGAGCAAATGGGAGGCTTTCAATGATATTTGGTAAATGAATGATATTGCATTACTGAGGTGAATGTACTGTCTTCATATTAGGAATAGCTATAATATTGGCCGGGCGCATTGGCTCTCGCCTATAATCCTAGCACTTTGGGAGGCCCAGGTGGGTGGATCACCTGAAGTCAGGAGTTCAAGACCAGCCTGGCCATCATGGTGAAACCTCATCTTAAAAAAATAAAAATAAAAATAGTAAAATAAGGAATAGCAATAATATCAGTACCAATCAACTCTTGCTATCAACACATATTAGGTAATGAGTTTTGCTCACACATAAGGCACTGTATATTCCTAGTGGAAATAATCTTTCTGTTTTACATATTTATGGGATATTTCAAAGCTTTTTTTCATTCAGATGAGAAAAATGTCTTTGGTTGTAGCAGAGCTATTTATTTGCTTTTCCTTGTGGCAAATTGCTGGGTATGTCAGCCATTACCCTGAATGGTTGCTGGCAGCCCACCTGCTAGTATAGGAATTCATTATAATTAGCAGAAGAGATCAACTGCAGCACACTCTGATACTGTGGCAGCAACAGGAAAAGCAAGTCAGGATCCATCGTATAAGATGAGAAAGTAACCTGCTGCTACTTTCAAGCAACAGGGAGTCAGGAGCCAGGGGCACCTAGCCTCTTTAACACAGAAAGATTACATTGAAGCACAAATGAAAGGTCCAGAAAGAAGCAGTTCTTATTCTTATTGGGTTCTAGGTTGGGATCACTAATACAAATTTACGTAAAACCTTGAGGTATTTTAAATCCACCTCTGGGCCAGGCTTAGTGGCTCACGCCTGTAATCCAAGCACTTTGGAGGCCAAGGTGGGAGGATCACCTAAGGTCAGGAGTTTAAGACCAGCCTGACCAACATGGTGAAACCCCATTAAAAAAAAAAAAAAAAGAAAGAAATCCACCTCTGAACGTAGCCAGTATCTATTTGAGAACAGAAATAAAGGTGTTTTCCCATATAAAGAAGCACTTTAATACTTGCTCGTATGTATTTATGCTTCAAACAGGACCAAAATATTGGTAGTAATTTTTCCTATGTGTGGAAAACTGACCTAAATTAGGCCAAATTAGTATAATTACTCCTTGGTATAATTACCATATTTTCTTATTGATTAACCCCTCCACTTATATCTCCATTTGAAAAATGCTTTCGCATTTTAATATAGCCTCTCACTTGAAGATATTTTTAGATATTTTATTAGGCTTTTCAAAGAAGCAATTATTATTTTAGCTCGTCCTTTCTTTTTTTTTCCTGCATTAGTGCTATTGATTTCCTTTCTATTTTTAAGATTATTTCAGAAGTTGTATGTGTCATTCCTGTAGTCTCAGCACTTTGGGAGGCTGAGCCAGGAGGATCACTCGAGCCCAAGAATTTGATTACAACTTGGGCAACATAGGGAGACCCCAACTCTACAAATAATAAAAAAAGAATTAGCCGGGCATGGTGGCACATGCCCGTGGTTCTTAGCTACTTGGTAGGCTGAGGTAGGAGGGTTGCTTGAGCCCAGAGGTCAAGGCTTCAGGGAGCCATGATTGCACCACTGCATTTCAGACTGGGTAACAGAGCGAGACTGTCTCAAAAAAGAAGAAAAACGAAATAAAAGAAAAGAAAAAAATTATGTGGTTGGGTACTTTTTAATTATTTTAATTTTCAAATTTGTTGTAAGTAAATGTAGTGGGCATAAGACATTTACCCTTTTTTCTGTACTTTTACTCTTCACATAGATTTGAAGAAAGATCCATGTATGTATAAAGGAATCCCAACTGTTTTTCCTACATTTTTCCTCATATATATGTTTTGACTCATTAATTGTATTATTCAAATCTATAGGTTCTGTTTTTGTTTTTAAAAATTAAAAAAGGAAATCATAAATTCCATTTTCCTTGTTTATAAACAAAGTAGTCTGCAATGAAGTTGACCCTTCCTGCGTGCCCCTCCCCACATCCTCTTTTTCCCAGTAGCAGTGATTGCTGTCAGTCTGGTGTGTCCTCTCAGACCTCCTTAGAGCTGTCTTTATGTGTCTGTGTAAACATCCAAGGGAGTGGTGATTGTTTTCTGTTCTGATTTTTGCTCTAATGGTATTCAGTTTCTAACTCATTCTTTTTATGCATGTTTTTATTCAGGATGTAGTAAGTTTATTAGAAATACAAATTCAGAAGCATTTTATTTTCACTCATACCTCTGACCTCACTGTAGTCTACTTTGTTCATCTTCATACTTTTTTGCTGTTAAATCTTGTCTACCAATTACATTTTGGGTTTGATTCAGCACTTAGCTTTTCTATTTATAAGGATCTTTAGCTTAAATTGTTAAAAGGATTTATCGATGTCTGTCTGTAGGATGCTGAAGAAGACCATGAAAGAACACATCAAATGGTTTTACTGAGAAAGCTTTGTCTGCCAATGTTGTGTTTTCTGCTTCATACAATATTGCATAGTACTGGTCAGTATCAGGAATGTCTACAGTTAGCAGATATGGTATCCTCTGAGCGCCACAAACTATATCTGGTAAGTTCCAGAGCATTGTAGTTTTAAATTTTAATGATTTTATATACTCTGTAGTAATATTTAATTTGGTGAAGATGTATGTACATTTGTAGTTGTTCTTGAATTTTCTTAAAGTAATAGTCCAGTTTTAATGTTTGTGCTTTTTTCCCAAAACGTGTATATATTTGTAAGCAGTTAGAAATATATAGACTGACTCTGAGAAATAGCCTTGAAATTCCAGAACCACTCTAATTTGCTAGCCTCTGGCTACATAATTCTTAAAGAGGAATTTCTTCTTATATGAAGCTAATCAGATTGATTAGGTAATTATGTTCATACGTGTCGTTCTCATTCTTATTTCTCTTTTTAAAAATCAGGTGTTTTCTAAGGAAGAGCTAAGGAAGTTGCTGCAGAAGCTAAGAGAGTCCTCTCTAATGCTCCTAGACCAGGGACTTGACCCATTAGGTTACGAAATTCAGTTATAGTTGATCTACTCTTTGTAATCTCACTGATTTTCGTGATAAATGACGTTTTTAATAAAATATACCTGTTATTAGTAATTTTTTCTTTTGCACCATGTAAAATTTAGACATTTGAATTTTGTACTTTTCGGAATATTATGGTGACACTTTGAAAATGTAATGTATGTATATCAGTGTTTGTGCTTATTAATAAAACTATATAAAAATTAAAATTTTCTGTTTTTACAAATTCCAGGATTGTCTCTATATCATGTAATATGAAAATTAAATTTCCTATTCTACTTTTTTCTGTAAGTATTCTGACATTTTAAAATCATAAAGATTATGGAAATATTTATTTTTAAGCCACATACATGATTTTTTATTTATCATAAAATTTAGTATTTTTTGAATATTAGAATTAAGAAGATGACTATAACAAGAATGTTTTCTAATATAACATGCTATTATTATTTTAGTTATTTTGAAGACATTTCTAGTTTAGCTTTCATTTAGCAAACTTCCTATCAAAATAAGAGCATATAAAGACTTAGTGTAGTACCTGGCACACAAGTAAGCCTGGAATACATTGGGGATTACAAATCCAGCTCTTCTAGTAGAGGAAATACCGTAAGTACATTTAAAAGGTGTCATTAAGAAATGAGAGTAGTGGCCGGGCGAGGTGGCTCACTTCTGTAATCCCAGCACTTTGAGAGGCCGAGGTGGGCAGATCACCTGTCATCAGGAGTTTGAGACTAGCCTGGCCAACGTGGCAAAACCCCATTTCTACTGAAAAAAAAAAAAAAATTAGCCAGGCATGGTGGCAGGCACCTGTAATCCCAGCTACCCAGGGGAGGCTGAGGCATGAGAATCACTTGAACCTGGGAGGCAGAGGATGCAGTGAGCCGAAATCACGCCACTACACTCCAGCATTGGGGATAGAGTGAGACACTGTCTACAACAAAAAAAGTACAAATAGTCTGAGCAGGAAGACACTTATCTCCAACTGAAAGGACTCTCAGGAAGTAGTAGTGGGTTGGGGTTTGAGCAGTGCACTGAATTTGCAAAGCAAAGAGAGGCATAAGAAGGATGAGGCTCTATAGATTAAGAAATCAGTATGAGCAAGACCTAGAAATGATAAGTGCTGGGCATTTTTATGAACCAACAAATATACCAAATAGGCTAGAGTGTAGGGCTTATAAACAGGAGACAAAAGAATGTGACTCTAATAGAAAACACCAATTCCCTAAACTGGCTAATCATCTAAGGAATTTATTGAATATGTATTTATAGATGCCACTCCTAGAGACAGCTGGCTTGGGAAGCCTGAGATGGGATCATAGAATTTGTTCAACTCTACGTGCTTTTGGTGTTTTTCTTTTCTTTTCTTTTTTTTTTTTTTGAGATGGAGTTTTACTCCTGTTGCACAGGCTGGAGTGCAATGGCACAATCTCGGCTCACTGCAACCTCTGCCTCCTGAGTTCAAGCAATTCTCCTGTCTCTGCCTCGTGAGTAGCTGGGATTACAGGCATGTACTACCACCATGCCTGGCTAATTTTGTATTTTTAGTAGAGATGGGGTTTTTCCATGTTGGTCAGGCTGGTCTAAAACTCCTGACCTCAGGTGATCTGCCCGCCTCAGCCTCCCCAAGTGCTGAGATTACAGGTGTGAGCCACCAAGCCCAGCCTGTTGTTGTTTCTCTAAAGAATCCGTCTTGTCTTCCTGTTTCCTTTATTCTTACTGACATGCAAATGATCTTTATAGCTCATGCAGTCCTATAATCATGATTGTTGCTATGCTGCTTTGCAAAAAATAATAACAAACAAAATCATACCGGAACAAATACAGACTAGATTTTGGGGGAAGGAAGAGGAAATAAGTGAGTCTTAAAAGTAATTTTGTTACTTGCAACAAACTATATATAGAGAAACTTTGTACAACCTAGGGTGACTATTTCCAAAGACTGTCACCTATTTATTGAACCACAGTGGAAAACTACGTAGCTTAAATGAGAAGGAATATTGTATGCTTCTATGTAAATGGACAAGGTCTGTCATCTATTTAGGAACTTGTTTTGCATGCCCCCCACTCTATCCATCTTTTGTTTTGCTTTGTTTTTTGAATGTACTTTAAAAAACAACCAAGGTTGTGGAATTCTACAACTAAGGTTGTAGAATTACAAAATTATTTCAATTTTAGACTCTTAATTAGGATGCCCTCAAATGGACTTTATTATTTACTTATTTATTTATTTATTTATTTATTTTTGAGACAGGCTCTTGCTCATCTCCCAGGCTGGAGTGCAGTGGCATGATCTTATCTCACTGCAACCTCTGCCTCCTGGGTTCAAGCAATTTTCCTGCCTCAGCCTCCCTAGTAGCTGGGATTACAGGCGCTTGCCACCACGCCTGGCTAATTTTTGTATTTTTACTAGAGAAGGGGTTTCACCATGTTGGCCAGGCTGGTCTCAAACTCCTCACCTCAAGTGATCCACCTGCCTTGATCTCCTAAAGTGCTGGGCGCATTCGGCCAAATGGAGTTATTTGAGTCCTTAGGGAGTCAGTGTATGTGTTGCTGTTTATGTAAATACAGTTCAGCTGGGGCCCCAAGAGTGCCAATGTACTCCTCACAATTCCCAGATGCCTCTGTCTTCCTGAATACCAGAAGTGGTGGGCACCTGAGTGGGAAATTTCAGGCAACTTAATTTAGTTCATCAGTGCCTACTCTATTGAAGAACTGGGTTTTCATTCTAGAGAAGAAACTCAGGGAAGGGCCTGTTTCCCATCACAGGTTCACGTAATGATTTTTTTTTTTTTTTTTTTTTTTGAGACAGAGCCTTGCTCTGTCCCTAGGCTGAAGTGCAGTGGCGCAATCTTGGCTCACTGCAACCTCTGCCTCCCGGGTTCAAGCAATTCCCCTGCCTCAGCCTCCCGACATACTGATTTTTGAAAACTTTTCTTGGCGTGACTTATGCCGAGGAATTATGAGGACTTTTCCCCGAGTACTGCATGAAGGCTTTGAAGTTGGAACAGGCATGAACGTTTTAATTTCCCTGCCTCATTTATTTAATTTAGAAATGGGGGTCTCACTATGTTCCCCAGCCTCGCTTCCAGCTCCTGGGCTCAAGCAATCCTCCCACGTCAGTCTCAAATAGCTGGCACTAAAGGCCCATGCCACCATGCCCTGCTTCCTCAATCATTTTAAATTTTTGTATCACGGTCTTTCTTTTTATGACTGCTGAATTAATCCTAGAGTCTGTCTTAAAACTAAGAATTGACATATTGATAGGAAGAACTGGACATTCAAGATGTTTTAGTGATTCCTTTTTCCCCACTACTCTTGTTGCCCAGGCTGGAGTGCAATGGTGTGATCTCGGCTCACTGCAACCTCCGCTTCTTGGGATCAAGCAATTCTGCCTCAGCCTCCCGAGTAGCTGGGATTACAGGCATGTGCCACCACACCCAGCTAATTTTTGGTATTTTTAATAGAGATGGGGTTTCTCCATGTTGGTCAGGCTGGTCTCAAACTCCCAACCTCAGGTGATCTCCCTGCCTCGGCTTCCCAAAATGTTGGGATTACAGGCGTGAGCCATCGCCCCCGGCCTTTGTGATTCCTTTTTTAAAATCCCCTTTTGTACCTGTAGTATCTACAATATATAATCTTGCTCTATTCGACTTAAGGAGGAAGGAGAAAGGAAGAACCTGACTTCTGTCTGAAAGGACCTTATTGCAATGTCGATCAAGACTGTTACTTAAAGTTTTATCTCTTAATCATTGCGCCTGACTTTACGATCCAAAACATCTATGTATGCACCCCTAGAGACAGCTGTATATATATATACAGTTATGCCAAGTTGTGCATTTCTTTCTGGAATTGTAAGTGAACACAATAATTGCACGTTTATAATGTCAAGGGGACATCTTTACAGAGAACACATTTTCTCACTGTTGAGCTAATGCTTTGTGAATGTATGATCTAAGGAGAAACCCTTGCAGTTGTACCCGATGATGCTGTCTGTTGGAAAGTGAATTTTTAATCTTTTTACAACAATAAAAAATAAAATGAAAATATGTTTTCAGTAAATTCTTTTCCCTCTCTGGCGAGGACTAAATTTGCTTAGCATTCAACAAGGAAAATTGGCCAAAGTGTCTGCACAGCCAGAGAGAAGTCGTCTAGCAAATCGAGTCAATGACACACAGGAAACAAACGTCAAGAAAGGGGCTCTAGATTGGCCGAGTCAGGTAGGCATTAGGTGACCAGGAGGGTCGGGGACACAAAGGATGAGACACAAAGACGCAGCGTCGCGCGCCCAGGGCCCAGCGCGCCTGCGCAAGGTAACAGTCGCTCAGCCCGCGGCTCGAGGGCGGAAGCGCTGGAGCTCGAGTCACGTGGTCGCGGGAGGAGATGGGCGGGCCGGGGGACGTGCCGCCGAGTCCTCGCTGGCTTAAGGGGCGGCGGCAGGGCGTGTGTCCTACCTTAAGAGTGCTACTCGCCCGAGGTCTGATCTGTGCATGCCTTTCCCGGGTCAGGCGGTGAGGTCGGCGCCTGCGAGTACGCGGCGGTGGAGAAGGGCAGCCAGCGACAGGCCAGGAGGCCCTTCGGAGGCTGGACGGAGCCGGCTTCACTGAGATCATGGCATCGCTGGTGGACCGACTGCGCGGCCACGGTCGAATCGCGGTCGGGCTCCTGTTCAACCTGCTGGTGTCTATCTGCATCGTGTTCCTCAACAAATGGATTTATGTGCACCACGGCTTCCCCAACATGAGCCTGACCCTGGTGCACTTCGTGGTCACCTGGCTGGGCTTGTACATCTGCCAGAAGCTGGACATCTTTGCCCCCAAAAGTCTGCCGCCCTCCAGGGTCTTCCTCCTGGCCCTCAGCTTCTGTGGCTTTGTGGTTTTCACTAACCTTTCTCTGCAGAACAACACCATAGGCACCTATCAGCTGGCCAAGGCCATGACCACACCGGTGATCATAGCCATCCAGACCTTCTGCTACCAGAAAACCTTCTCCACCAGAATCCAGCTCACGCTGGTAAGTAGCTTCAGCTTCTCCAGGCGCCGCCGTTCCTACCCACCTCCTGCACTGGCCCCGGGAAATTCGAACGCACACTGGTTAACCCTTCGCCACGCTCTTTCCCTTTATCTTGAAATCCACAAATGAGTCATCTGTGAGCGTGTGAACTTAAGGCCTATTTTGGGAAGGAGGAAAAGTCCATCTTGTCACTCTGTTGGGCTCTTAACCCAGAAGAGTGGGCTTATGTGAGTTTTAGTAGCTGCCATTTGATGGAAATCGTTAAATGCTGTGATCCGTAAGAAAAAAAGCTGTATTGGGTGGTACAGTCCAGTGTTATCAAAATATCTGCAAAATCTCAAACTACAAAACAGCCTTTCTCCCACAGGGGAATCAAATTGTGTATGATAAACATGAAAAGATTTAGCATAAATTAGGTCTCAAAATGTCTGCAGCACCATTCTGCAGAGCTGTCTGCATCTTTAAATAAAAGGAGGTGGTCTCAGTTTTAGAACTTAATAACTTATTATATTTAAGGTCTTTATGCTTTTATTGTTTTATATTTATGCTTATGCTGTTTAGACACTAGTTTGGGGATCCATTTACCCACCTTCATATTCATGTGGTATTTTCTTGCACAGTGCAATGTATTTACCACAAATTTAAAATGGAATTAAATGTGAACATCAATATAGATTTATCATATTTCACGTTTAGGAAATAGGATTAACAACCAGTTTTCCCAAGTGAAAAAAGAAAACATTTATACAGGTCCATTATTTCCCAGTTATGTGTTTATGATTAGCCTTGTAAGACACTGTGAAAGGAATACTAACTTTTTGTTTCTTGAATTTAATCTGAACAACATTTACCTCTTTTTCGTTACAGATTCCTATAACTTTAGGTGTAATCCTAAATTCTTATTACGATGTGAAGTTTAATTTCCTTGGAATGGTGTTTGCTGCTCTTGGTGTTTTAGTTACGTCTCTTTATCAAGTGGTTGGTAATTTTTTTTCTTTATGTGCCTTTTTAGCAGATTTCATAAATTTTGAAGCTGTATTCCAAGGTTTAGAAAATACAGTATAGAGACAATAGACTGTTGGGAAGAAAGCATAATTGCATAAATTGACTCAAGGTGAAGAGAAGAAAGGAGACAGAGAAACTTGGGTGTGTGATGCTCACCAAATACCTACCTGTTTGTAAGTGTATAATATCCATGCTTAACAATCTCAGTTTGGGGTGAAGTTATTTTCTGGGAAATCTTTACAAAATATGTAGTAAGACTTTTTACTTCCTAAGTTTATGCTTTTTGTTTACTCTTTACTTTTGACATTGTTGTGAAGGAGTGAGTACACTTCCAGAAATCTGAAGAGGAATGAAAAATTTAGATTTTTTTGCCCCCAAAATTATACTGCTGTTGCAACATGTTTATTGGCTTTTAATAATTTACCTACTATAGATTATTATAATATTAATATAATAGGGTAATTTATTTCAATGAATATTTTACCGTTTGTGCAAGCACAGTGCCTTGCCTATAGCAGACATTCATTAAAAATTTGTTTACAGATTCACCTACCTCGTTACCATAAAATCCTAACAAGTAGGGTTTTTGTTTCTTATATAGTGGGGAAAAAATAATTTGCTCTAGGGGACAGTGAAGCGGTATTCTCTCTATACTGAAAACCTTGGTCTGGGAATTCTGGGTGTGCCTGCATGGGAAATCAAAGCCAAAATGTGTAACCAATTTTACTTTTTTCACAAACATTCACTGCTTATTAAACTAAGGCATTCGTCTTAGCGATATTAGGAGTTCAGTAATAGAGCCCTAGCATCTTAACCATTCTAGGAGTGATAATGTCAGAGACATTGTTATGAAAATATTCTGCAATGAAATACATTTTCCAGTGACAGAGAAACAGTTTAAATAAGAGGGTTGAGCACGGTGGCTCACACCTGTAATCCCAGCACTTTGGGAAGCCAAGGCAGGCGGATCATCTGAGGTCAGGAGTTCGAGACCAGCCTGGCCAACATGGTGAAACCCCATCTCTACTAAAAATACAATGATTAGCCAGGAGTGGTGGCAGACACCTATAATCCCAACTCCTCGGGAGGCTGAGGCAGGAGAATCACTTGAACCCAGGAGGCAGAGGTTGCAGTGCACCAAAATCATGCCATTGCAGTCCAGCCTGGGGGACAAGAGCGAGACTTCATCTCCAAAAAATAAGAAAGAAAGAAAGAGAGAAAGAGAGAGAGAGAGAAAAGAAAGGAAAGAAAGAGGCTAGTGGACATACCTATTCATCTTTCTTGTTTGTTTGAGAGGCTAGTGAACATTTCTAATCATCTTTTTTTTTTTTTTTTTGAGACAGAGTTTTGCTGTTATTGCCCAGGCTGGAGTGCAATGGCACAGTCTCAGCTCACTGCAACCTCTGCCTCTCGGGTTCAAGTGATTCTCCTGCCTCAGCCTCCTGAGTAGCTGGGATTACAGGCATGCACCACCAAGCCCAGTTAATGTTTTTGTATTTTTAGTAGAGACAGGGTTTCTCCATGTTGGTCAGGCTAGTTTCAAACTTCCAACCTCAGGTGATCCACCCGCCTCGGCCTCCCAAAGTGCTGGGATTACGGGCATGAGCCACCACTCCTGGCCTCATCTTTCTTGTTAAGTGCACTTGTTTTTGCCTAGTATAGGCTAAATAAACAGAGCAAGAAATTGTACTCCTTATACGTAATGGATTCAGAGTACTCACCATTTATGTCACTATGACTATTTTTGTTCACACAAGTCTCAAAATTGCTATAGATTAAAATCAAAAGATTCAGTATCCCTAAGGTAGATATTTGAAATGAGATTGACCAAGGAATGGCTGTAGACTAATGGACAATTTCTTATCAGTAAATGGTAAAGGTATTACTACAAAATACATATATTCCCGAAACATTCCTCTCAAAGTTGTATCTGCCCACTATATCTTGGCATAATTTCTGTGTTGCTTCTCTTACACCGCTGGAGACATTAAAAGGAGTTAAAAGACGAGTGATAGTTATTAGCTTGAGTTGTAGAAGATGGTTGACTCATTCATTCATTCAGCAGACATCTTTTCTGTGTTATGTTCACCCTTGAGGATACAAAGATGAAAAGCAGCTACAGTCCCGCAGTGTAGAAACACATGGTGGCAGCTGATAGCGTATGTACCCCAAGGTAGGAGGAAAGTTCTGAGGAACACCAAGGAGGAAGTGGCAAGAGGGGCGGTGAGGTAACACTTTAGGGGAAAGTGCACAATTTAAATTGAAGGACGCACAGAAATTAGCTCAGCAGTGAAGGACAGCTGATCTTTTCCTTGCAGTGTGTGTGAAAGTCTGGAGCATTTCTGGAGAACTTGATTTGTTTGGTGAGGCTAGGCAGTAGGTGCATTGTGGGAAGACAAGGCTGAGAAGTGGGTGAGACCAGATGTCAGGATTATGAAGCCATGCTAAGGAAGTGTGTCTTTTTTTTTTTTTTTTTTTTTTTTTTTTTTTGACAGTCTGCTCTGTCGCCCAGGCTGAAGTGCAGTGGCACGATCTCAGCTCCCTGCAACCTCCGCCTCCCAGGTTCGAGTAATTCCCCTGCCTCAGCCTCCTGAGTAGTGGGATTACAGGCATGGACCACCATGCCCAACTAATTTTTGCATTTTTAGTAGAGACAGGGTTTCACCGTGTTGGTCAGGCTGGCCTCATGATCCGCCTGCCTCAGCCTTCCAAAGTGCTGGGATTACAGGCGTGAGCCACTGCACCCGGCCGGAAGTGTGTCTTTATTGAGCACGCACCAAGAGAGCAGTTCACACAGGGACTGACTTGATCATTCCCGTTTTTTGTTTTCTTTTTTTGAGATGGAGTTTTGCTCTTGTTGTCCAGGATAGAGTGCAATGGCGCAATCTCAGCTGACCACATCCTCCACCTTCCAGGTTCAAGTGATTCTCCTGCCTTAACCTCCCGATAACTGGGATTACAGGCATGCGCCACCAGGCCCAGCTAATTTTGTATTTTTAGTAGAGACAGGGTTTTTCCATGTTGGTCAGGCTGGTCTTGAACTCCCAACCTCGGGTGATCCGCCCGCCTGAGCCTCCCAAAGTGCTGGGATTACAGGTGTGAGCCACCACGCCTGACCGGTCATTCTCCTGGTTTAAGAAGAATAGTAGCAATGAAGGGTGGGTAAGAGGGAAGGATGAAAGGCAGAGCAGTCAGGAACCTGTGCTTCAAGGGGCAATGAGGAAGGGCCTGGGCCAGGGCAGTGAGAATGGATAGGGAAAGGTTAAAAGGTACTCCAGGGGCATTTTGGAGAACATGTGGCAGGACCTGACTGAATGTGAGAGTGGGGAAAGGAAGGCTTCTATCCCTGATGGAGATTGTATCATCAATTATTGCAACCATACAAGAGGAGCCATTTGTGGAAGGAAGGCACCAGTTGATTTTAAACAAGTTCCTGCAGATTATGTAAGTAGAGATGGCCAGGAGACTGTGACCGATATAAGGTTAAGGATGCTCAAGTGATGAGGGAAGAGCAGTAGATCTCAGCAAATAGTAAAAGACATCAGTCAGGGCAGTGAAAGAGGAAGGCAGACGTCTACCTTAAAAACTGTAAGTGCAGGAGGTGGTGAGGGAGGAATGCAAACCAGAGAGTAGTTCTTCCAAAGGAAACTTGCAGGTTTTGCAAGGAGGTCCCACAGGAAGAGCCACAGGGAGTCTGGACATGGCCATGGAGGTCATGGTGCCCTTAAAAGAGCATTAGAGGGGTGGCAGCAGGAGCCAGGCTATGCAGCATTGAGGTACAGTGGAGGCCTGAGAGCCCCTGCTGTTCCAGGCAGTCCCTCGGCTGAGACACACAGCTGCCTGGAGAGGTTGCGAAAGGAAAGGGGGGTGAGCACCCACCCTCTGTATCCGTTTTTGCTCACTGCTGTGCCCGGAGAAGCAGGCAGCAGAAGAATCAGTTCTTTGTGCTTCATATTCACAGAGGACTCTTAGTTAAAGCTGGCAGGAGTATGGTTCAAATTCCCTGCCCTTCTATTTTTGTCTTGATGAATTTCTATAGACTTAGAGTTTATGTAACAAGATACCCAAACCTACAGGAAAAAGAGATATGTAGAAGTCATTCAAAAGCCTGGCTGTTCTTGCCAGATCTGATCCAAACAGTCCTGTTAAAGCTTCTTCAAAGCCTCTTTTTCAGTTATATTTGTGAAGCATTTTCTGGACAGATGGGATTTGAGGTCTTGAGATGTTGTTTCTACTGAATGGCAGGGTATTTTAGGGTTAGTGATTATCTAATGTATCTAGGTGTATTGGTGGGGGATGAGGAATAGGATCCACAGAAAAGTCATCCAGAAAGAGGAAAATTTCTTCTACCATTGATTGGGTTTTCCAAAGCAACTGACAAGACCACATACCTTTGAAGCCACATGCATTTGCAGCCACCTCTAACCTGCCCCATGCCCCATTGTCATCCTGTCACCCTAACCTCTGTCTTCCATTGTTGTTTTTTTTTTTTTTTAGATAAAGTCTTGCTCGGTCGCCCAGGCTGGAGTGCAGTGGCACGATCTCGGCTCACTGCAACCTCCGCCTCCTGGGTTCAAGTGATTCTCTTACCTTAGGCTCCCAAGTAGCTAAGACCACAGGCGCGCACCACCACGCAGGGCTAATTTTTGTATTTTTAGTATTTTGTATTTTTAGAGATGGGGTTTCACAATGTTGGCCAGGCTGGTCCCAAACTCCTGGCCTCATGTGATCCACCCACCTCAGCCTCTCAAAGTGCTGGAATTACAGGCATGAGCAATTGCTCCTGGCTCCTGTCTTCCATTTTAAAATTTTTGCAATTTTTAGAAAGAAACAAAGTCCGACACTGCATCTGTATTCCTAATCACCTAAATTTCCATTTTTCCCTTATTTTCCTAAGATCTTTTATCCTTATAGGCCCTTATATGCATTTACTTTTCCCCATTTACTAAGATCAGGTAGAAGGAAATAGAGAACTTTTCTCCCCCTTCTAAGAATTGGGAAGAAACTAGATTATCAGAAATTAAATTTATAGAGCTCTTTTTATCCAAGGCGCTTAGAGGGCATTCATATAGCTTGCTGGTCTTTGAAATCCTGTAGAATAATTAGGCATTTTTTCTTCCTCCAGTCTGTTACCCCACATTCCCATCTTTGTGACTCTAGTTGTCACATCTTTGATTAAGTGATGCTATTTTTTTTGTCCTGACAAGTTTTATCTCCCAATTTTCAGTGGGTAGGAGCCAAACAGCATGAATTACAAGTGAACTCAATGCAGCTGCTGTACTACCAGGCTCCGATGTCATCTGCCATGTTGCTGGTCGCCGTGCCCTTCTTTGAGCCTGTATTTGGAGAAGGAGGAATATTTGGTCCCTGGTCAGTTTCGGCTTTGGTAAGTTCTAATTGTTTTGATGTCTAAACAAAGTATAATAATAATCCCTCCATTATTAATGTCATTTTTAGTTTTCAGAGCACTATCTCAAATCCATTCTCACATTTACTCTTTATAATTACCGTGTAAGGAGGTAAGGTAAAGATTATTTTTCAGATGAAGAAACTGACGCACACAAAGATGAAGGGACTTGCCTAGAGTGAGCAGCTACTCAGTGGTAAAAGCAAAACTATAGTTCATGTCTTCTGATGTCTGGTTACTGTTCTGACCGTGTCAAGCTAGAGCCCACAAATAATTTGGAAATGTAAATTAGAATTTTTTATAATGAAAATATAGTTTTATAATCATTATATCGATTTTGAACATACATACAAATATAAAGAAAGTAAAGGACAGCCATGGTGGCTCACTCCTGTAATCCTGGCCTTTGAGAGGATGAGGTGGGCAGATCGTTTGAACCTAGGAGTCTTAGACCAGCCTGGGCAACATAGGAAGACCTCGTCTCTATAAAAAAATTTTAAAAGTGGCTGGGTGTGCTCGCTCATGCCTGTAATCCCGGGACTTTGGGAGGCTAAGGCAGGTGGATCACAGGAGCTCAAGGGTTCAAGACCAGCCTGGCCAACATGGCGAAACCCAGTCTCTACTAAAAATACAAAAAAGTTAGCTGAGGCCAGGCGTGGTGGCTCCTGTAATCCTAGCGCTTTGGGAGGCCAAGGCAGGCAGATCACATGAGGTCAGGAGTTCTAGACCAGCCTGGCCAACATGGTGAAACCCTTCTTTACTAAAAATACAAAAATTAGCCAGTTGTGGTGGCACACACCTGTAGTCCCAGCTACTCAGGAGGCTGAGGCACAAAAATCGCTTGAACCCATGAGGCAGAGGTTGTAGTGAGCTGAAATTGCGCCATTGCACTCCAGCCTGGGTGACAAAGTGAAGCTCTGTGTCAAAAAAAAAAAAGAAAGAAAATTATCTGGGCTTGATGGCATGTGCCTGTAATCTCAGCTACTTGAGAGGCTGAGGCACAAGAATTGCCTGAACCTGGGAGGTGGAGGTTGCAGTGAGCCATGATCGTGCCACTGTACTCCAACCTGGCTGACAGAGCAAGACTTTGTCTCAAAAAAAAAACGATCAAAACATTAGCCAGGTATGGTGGCATGCACCTGTCGTCCCAGCTACTTGGGAGGCTGGGGTAGGAGAATCGCTTGAGCCTAGGAGGTCAAAGCTATAGTGAGCTAAGATAGTACCACTGCATTTCAGCCTGGGCAACAGAGGGAGACCCTGTCTCAAAAAAAGCCAAACTAAAACAACAAAAGCAGCAACAACAAAAGAAAGTGAAGGGCCCCTGGAATCCTGTCACACTAAGGTAATCACCTTTACCATTTCAGTGAGGATCATTTCATGGATCTCTTTTGTATATACACATAGGTACTCATGCACGTGTGTGTATAACTTTAGATACTGGAATTATATCATAGATGCTGTTTTTATTGTGGATTCCTCTTCCCCAGCCTTTCTACCCACACACTTTTCCACATTCCATTACCCCCCATCCATGTCCCTTGAAATCATGTTAACATTCTAGTGCTTGTTCTTCCATATTTTTCTCCATGCCGTATATATCCATATAAACACACACACACACACACACACACATCTCAATAATATATCTGTTTCTTTGACAAAAGTAGAATTCTATTACGTATGCATTTCTGTATCTTGCTTTTCTGACTTAATAATATCTCCTAAAAATCTCTCCAAAGCATTCTTTTCAATGTCTGTATGTTTTGTTGTTGTTGTTTTGTTTTGTTTTGAGACAGAATCTCACTCTGTCACCCACATTATGGTGCAGTGGTGTGATCTCTATTCACTGCAACCTCCACCTCCTGAGTTCAAGTGATTCTTGTGCCTCAGCCACCCGAGTAGCTGGAATTACAGGCGTGCACCACCATGCCTGGCTAATTTTTTTGTATTTTTGGTAGAGATGGGGTTTCACTATGTTGGCCAGGCTGGTCTTGGCCTTCTGATCTCAATCGGTCTGCCCGCCTCGGCCTCCCAAAAGTGCTGGGATTACAGGCATGAGCCACCGTGCCCGGCCAGTGTCTGTATAATAGTCCCTTTGCATATTCACTTTTTTTTTCAGTTCTTGACCACTATGAACAATATTGTGATAAACATCATTGTATATCATGTGTCCTCATGTACTGATACCTTTTTTCTTATGGAAATGAGTCCCAGGAGTGGAATTGGCAAATCAAGGGCTTATGTATTTTGGGGACTTTTAGTTTCCAGAGACAGGTTCTGGCTGTGTTACCCAGGCTGGCCTCAAGCTCCTCAGCTCAAGTGATTCTCCCACCTCAGCCTCCCCAGCAGCTGGAACTAATGCTTTGGGGACATTTTAAGTTAGAATGTATAATCCTTCTATATCTTTTTTTTTTTTTTTTTTGAGACGGAGTTTTGCTCTTGTCACCCAGGCTGGAGTGCAATGGCGCGATCTCGGCTCACCGCAACCTCCGCCTCCTGGGTTCAGGCAATTCTCCTGCCTCAGCCTCCTGAGTAGCTGGGATTACAGGCACGTGCCACCATGCCCAGCTAATTTTTTGTAGTTTTAGTAGAGACGGGGTTTCACCATGTTGACCAGGATGGTCTCGATCTCTTGACCTCGTGATCCACCCACCTCGGCCTCCCAAAGTGCTGGGATTACAGGCTTGAGCCACCGCGCCCGGCATCCTTCTATATCTTAATCAGTTGAGGCTGCTATAACAAACCTACAGTGGGCTGGGTGGCTTAAACAACAAATACTAATTTCTCACAGTTCTGAGTCTGGAAGTCTGAGATCAGGCTGCCAGCATGGTTTGGTTCTTGGTGAAGACCCTTTTCTCACTTTATAGATGGCAGTCTTCTTGCCGTATCCTCATCTGACAGCAAGGAAGAGGAGAAAAAGCTCTCTTTTATCTCTTCTTATCTTGGGGACTAATCCCATTCATGAAGGCTCTACCCTTATGACATAGTCACCTCCTGAAGGCCCCACCTCCCAATACTATTACATTGGAGGTAAGGATTTCAACATGTGAATTTTAGGGGGACACAAACATTCAGTCCATAACACCTTACTTATCAGGAATTCCTGCTTCCCACAAGAGTTCCCACAACTTTTGAAACACAGTCAATGGGAATGTCTTTTTTGTTGGTATATCAATTTATCAAGCACTTATATAGCCCTTAGTCTCTTGCTTGCACTATTCAAAGCTCTATGTAAATATTAACTTATTTAATCTTTATAATTTTATTAGGTTGATACTATACTAATACTATTTGTATTGGTCCATTTTGTGATGCTATAAAAGAATACCTGAGACTGAGTAATTTATAAGGGAAAGGGGTTTATTTTGGCTTATGGTTCTGCACAAGAAGCATCAGTGCTGGCATCTATTTCTAGCGAGGGCCTCAGGAAGCTTACAATCATGGTGGAAGGCAAAAAAAAATGGGGAGCAGGCACGTCAGTCACATGGCGAGAAAGGGAGCAAGAAAGAGAGGGGAGGAGATACCAGGCTCTTTTAAATAATGAGCTCTAACT